AATAATTAAAACACTGCCTGATGGTCCTGGCTCCATATCCAATCTAGGGAGCATCAGTGGTTCCTTTTTTTTTTTTTTTTTTTAATAACAGGCCCTTATGGTCCTGGCTCCATTTCCATTCTGGGGAGCTTCAGTCCGGTTCCTATTCCACCGGCAAGTCAGAATAACAGGAGACATCATAAGTACTCACCCACGCTTCCTTCTGTCAGGCTGAAGGACCCCTGACCAGCATTGATTGCTCCAACATCGTGGAGGATTGACTGTCAGCTTGCCCTGCTTCATCCTTTCCTCTCAGGTCTACTGCGAAAACCCGTTGTATAAAACATGACTAGCGAGAAAGGTCCTAGAAGCTGCCAAAGCTGCCAATTTTGCCTATACTGTAAATCCCCCATGTGAGCCACATGAAAACTCTGCTATTCTGAACCCTGTTTGCCCTAATTCTGTCCAACCCTAAGCGCTAAACCCTCAACTATAGTTTTTTTTTTTTTTTTTTTTAACAAGAACAGGGCCTTATGGTCCTGGCTCCTTTCCATTCTGGGGAGCAACAGTCCGGTTCCTATTCCACCGGCAAGTCAGAATAAAACATTACAATCATGAAATCACACGCTTTCTCCCGTCTGGCCGAAGGACCCCTGAACAGCATTGATTACTCTAGTCTTCTGGAGGATTGAGTGTCAGCTTGCCCTGCTTCACTTTTTCCTCTCACATCTATTCACTAGATCTGCCAGGTGTGTACCCATAACAGCGAGAAAGAGCTTACCGCCTACTCAAGCTAACCCTTGAGACTCGTACTTCTACCTTATCCATATGTCTCGTCTCCTCCTATTCCTCCTTATCTCTCGTTACGAAAGTATCGTCCAAACCCTAAGCCCTAAATCCTAAACCCTCGTCTTGAAATAAATTTTCTGAGACCTCCGGATCATCTTGGCTTGTCAGCTCAAGTGGCCTGATGTGGGTCTTGAACCATTTGTAGTCCGGAGTCCCTGCCTGCTGCATCCTGTTTTCCTTTCCCTCGTCGTGATCAAGCCGCCCACTCTTCCGATCCCATCTGCCTCCCAGTCTTGTCCTTCCTGGTGCGATTTTTCATCCAAGGGTCTGGCTTCCTTTTTTTTTTTTTTTTTTCAGTTGACTAAAACCTTGAAGCCTAGAATCCTGAATTCTATCCCATCTGGTCAAACCCCTAAACCTTAGATCCGCTACCAACACTCTAAACCCCTTGAAACCTATCCCCTCCATTTGAACCATAACTTACTACCCTTTATAATTGCCACTGCTCCTTGCCCCAGAATGTTGTGATTAAAGCGTATCGTTATCTCCTCCTCCTGCCCCGGTTGGAGGTATATTTGTTTCCTTACTGCTTTCCACTGCGCCCTAAGATCCGTTTCAACCAATGTGAGAAATATCTCCCTTGCTTCCTGTCTGTGCATTGGCCGCCCTTCGATAGTAGTTTGGCACCGGCGCTTCCAAATAGTCCAGAGACCATATTGGCGTATCAATTTAAATTTTAAAGATGTGCTTCTCAAAAGGCTGGCAATAATGCGGAATGCTGAGTCCCAACAAAAGAGAGATTTTGGAATCAGCTCGCTTCTTCACACTCCAGGGAAGATAGCCTTTGAAATCTGGTCCCATATGATCCTTACTTCCCCCCATATCATGCTTGCTTCTTCACTTTCCAAGAGGCAGTGTTGCATTGTTTCAGGTATTCCCCCTCGACATACCCTGCATATTGCGTTCTCTGAATTTCTCTGTCTCGAGATTCTACACTCCTCCAACCATACATTAACGGGAAGTGCCACATGAGCTATTAGCCATTGCATGCTTCTAACTGAACCTAGACGTATAGCAGTAATGCTTGACCATGGCAATTTAACCAATTGATTACAGGGAACCCCTACTCTCTTTTCCCAGCGCTTGAGCAAATAAGGCGTGAGCGTGCGAGACCGCCTCCTCAATCTATACCCGATTCTAGTGGTATAGTGCAGGATGTTGATTCTTCTTGCTGCACCTGTTCCTCTACTTCTTAGATTCCAAGCCCATTCTGTTGGATCCACTTCCAAGTCTTCAATCGGTACTGATGGACTAAATATTGTGTATTCATCCGTCTCCACTACCCTTACCTTCCTCAGGTATTGTTTGAGCATGACGATCGGGGCTTTGGATGTCATGTCCAGGAGAGAGGTTGTGTTGGGAGGATGGAGTATATCATACTTGTCTGCATGCAGCCAATCCTGTCTTGTAGTATCCTGATTCCAGATCCTGAAGGCTTCCTTAGGTTCGTTATCATCACTCCATGTGGCCCAGTCACCCTGATCCCACTGTATACCTCTCTGTAGCATTTGCTGCCATCTTGGCGGTATAGCTCCCAATATGACCCTACGGTTGTCAGCTAATATGTGACATC